AATACTTTACATTTGACACTAACCTTTAAATGACATTAAAGAATTTTATAAACCTGTTGCTTGTTTTTAAAAAGAAAAATACAGTAAAGACTGTCTTAGCGACCCCCTGTATATAGCGACGTTCTGTCTATAGTGACCATAGTTAGGTGCGCCGAACAGTATTTACTATATGAATGGTCTGTATGTAGCGACTCCCTGTCTAGTCCGTACAACGACCATGATTTAGTCACCCGTTACGGTATTTGAGCCGTGAACAGCGACTTTTGCAAGGGGAGCAAGGCTTGAACTAGGTGACGACTTTGGCGAAGAAGTCGCCTTCGCATCAGCGACTTTGCCTTAAACAAACTTCAAAGAGATTTTGAAGTCGCCCGATTTTTATAATTTTCCGTCATACTTATTTACGCCGCTAGGTCTGTTAATAATTTGTTTACCTCTCAATTACAACCAATTACCGTTAATCCGCTAATCAAGAACGCGTGTCAACATCAACAAAGTTGAATACACGCCGCAAGGCAAGAGTTCACTATGTGTATCTTTCTCATTACGTATTCATGCGATTGGCGAATCAGAACGCGCGTTGTATCTACGGCAGTTTGCATTGACCAATCGGCAACACGCTAATACACTGTGGCTGTTTGTTGACAATTACACAAAATGGTGACAGATTCAATCAATTTTTGCCGATAGAATGATTAAAGCCACCTTCATAATTATTATACATAATTGCTGCAGTGTTTTAGCGAGTAAAGATAAACAATGCCAAACGTCTTAAAGGTGTGGTTGTATTTGAAACCTCGATTGTTAATTTTTTTCGGAGCACTTATCGAAGATTTGTATCTAATGTTTTATTAATACATTGAACTCCGTAAAGTAAACAGGCTGATTACACAAAATTAAATGTCTCTACAGTAGAGTACATCTCATTAGTATAATTGAAATCAAACATTTTTTACAAACAGATTGATTAATATAAATTACATTTTAATGAATATGTAACTTTTAAATACTAATGTTATGGTGTAGTTTATAATCTTAACCAATTATACATGCAATTTTAATACTCTTGCTTTTTTTAAAAATGATATTTGATATGTTTAATATCAATACAAATATAATTAAACCCTTAGTATGGTACTATCCTGCTTTTCAACAAAATATTGGTATGATATGTTCATATATCTGAATTATGTAGAGACTGTCCACAGTGACTCCCTGTCTATAATGACCTTTTTTCTTTTCTCCCATCGAAGGTCACTGTAAACAGTCTTTACTGTACTTATAAGATCTATTCCTGAAGGTGAGGGATATAGGGCCATCATGGCCCTCTTGTTCTTATATGTATATAGTAAAAACTTTAAAAAAATCATCTTCTCTAAATTGACAAAGGCTAAGATATTTTGCATGAAACATTGTGTAGTGAACTAGCAAGATTGTTCAAATTATAGCCCTGGTGTCAAAATTGGCCCCGCCCTAGGGGTCATTGATTTTCACTATGTACATAATAAAATAATTATAGTAAAAAAATTAAAAATCTTATTGTCTGAGAGTACAAGGCTTTGAGCTTTGATATTTGGTATATGATATCATCTATAGGTACTCTACCAAAGTTGTGTCAATTATGCCTCTCTAAGTGTTAAAATTGCCCTGCCCCAGAGGTGATAGTTTCCTTAAATGTATATAGTAAAAACTTGAAAAATCATCTTCTCTGAATTGACAAAGGCCCCTGGTGTCAAAATTGGCCCTGCCAGGGGGCATTGATTTTCATTATGTACACATAGTAAAAACAGAAACTTGAACAAATGTTTTCTGAATTGGAGAAAGCTACAGCTTAGATATTTGACATGAAATGTTGTTTGGTGGACCTGTATCAAGATTGTTTGAATTAAACCCTTGGGTAAAAATTTGGCCTTGCCCAAGGGGACAGTGACCTACTTTCTTGTCCTTTGATGTACAGCCATGAAATTTGGACTATGTGCATATTTTTATTTGTAAAATTGAACTTTGATATCAGTTGACCTAGATTTTGATGATGTGACCTATTTTTTTGTCCTTTAATGTGCATCTATGAAATTTGAACCATGTGCACTGATTTAAGATGTAAAGTGAACTTTGATATCAGCTGGCCTAGAATTTGACAAAGTGTCTTACTGTGTTGTCCTTTGATGTACAGTCATGGAATTTTGGCCATGTGAAATATGACTTTCACCACCAATTCACTAGACTCAACTGCATTGATAGATTCCTACTCTTACTAATACTTACTGGTGTTCGCAATTACACGACTACGCCAGTATCTATGATGAAGGATGTGGTCCGTCTCAGGTCCTCAACATCACCATAAAGCTTCTGTTGGAGGGTTGTTTCCTGAGGCCACGTCGCAGCTCGCTCCTGGTCGTGTCGCTTACATCTTTGGAGGACATGCTCTGCAATTTGGTCTTCTTCTCCGCACAGACACATTGGAGATTGAACGAGTCGGTACTTTTTGTTCATGTGTGCATTAAGTCTGTTATGTCCTGAGCGTAGTCTCATCATGATCACTTGTTCTGGCCGGTTCAAGGAGTGATATGCATCAAGCTCTTGTCTTGGCTTTGATTCCTACTCTGATCTTTTATTTGAATAACAATAGATTTAACCACTAATCTAAAAATTCTTTTCCTACAATACTATTTAGTGTTGTATTAATGCGGTGGCATAGCATTTTTCATAAATGCAATCTTGTTTATTGACTGGTGTTTTTCATATTTTGTTGACTTGTTCTTTAGCGTACTGGTGTCCACATCACTGGTAAAAAAAGATTTATTTTACTGTTAACTCATGTGCATTTGAAAGAAACATGTGCCTATGAAAGAAACATGTGCCTAAGTCATCTTCTAAATAATTGGTTCCACAGGTCATGGATTTTTTCTTTGTGTTGGTAGTATACAGTTAAAATCTTCTCTTGGACAAAACAGTCTTAAGCTTTATTGTGGAGTTTTGTAATGACTAGAATCTGTCTTTGATCTTTATGTAGAATTTTTCTACATAATCTGGTAAAAAGGTCCACTTTAACAAACTGTTTATGAGGTTTACTTCTTTTTTCTCTCACCTTAGCACAAAGTGCTCACAGGTGAGCTTTTGTGATGGCATTGTGTCCATGGGTCATTATTATTATGTGCTTGTATAGTAAAAATGTCTTAAAATCTTCTCTTCTAAAATTGTAATGCTAGAAGATTAGATGTTTTTCATATAGAATCACCTTGTGAGTCTCAGATCCTCTACAAAAGTTATATAAAACATGCCCCTGGGGTCAAAATCAGTAAGACACTTCACCCCTCATCCATTTTTTTCTAAAATAAGCCAAAAAAAATGCTTTTATATCATATGTTTATTTTAATTATTTTTAGTATAATTTGATTTATAACTTTTTGAAAAATGGACAATTTACAGACATTTCTAAGAGTAAATATTTGTTTAGAACAGTAAATAATTCAGAAATAAATAACACATGTAATTCACATGTAATAATTTCTTTAAGTCATTTACATATAACATGCATTAAAACATAACATTTTTACTGGTTCTAAAAACCACATTCTTATAAATGTCCATAAATTTACCCACTTTCTCCAAGAACTCCTCAGTCCTTGACCTTAAGTCATGATCATCGTATTGCCCACTGTTATACAAAGCACATCCATTATTAAGTGTTTATTGCATGTCACCTTGTTTATTCAACTTGTTGATTGGTTGTTTATTCAACAGTTATCTCATAATTGATTAGATAATTGGATTAAAAAGGTATAATTGTATGAAAATGAAATAAATGAATAAATAAATAATAGTGTATGTAAAATAAATAATATTGTATGAAAAATAAATGAATAAATAATATTGTTTGAAAATAAATAAATAACTAAATAAATAATATGAATATAAAAGAATATAAATGAATGAATGATTTATTTTTCCATTAATGTAATAAATAAAAAAAGAACAATTTCATATCTTTATTTTCTTAAAAAATGTTGCTAACAAATTATTAAGTAAACTTACCGGTATCACATATGTTTTGCTTTCTTTAAATTCAATTCATTAAAACAAGATACTGTCAAAGACACAAAGGAAGTGTGAAAGAGATTATATACTTAATATAATATATCAAAGGAAATTTCACGAAAAGGTTCACACACTTAAATAGAAGGATTTATATACAACAATTAGTTATATCACTTTCACTTAAAGTGAAATTAGTATAAAATATATAAAAATAAAATTAAAAATAAAGAATTTACTTACTAATAACTTTGTGACATGAGCCTTTTTTAGGACAAAAACAACAATATATATCCATTGTCTTTGGTCAATTACGTCATGAATAATAAAATATGTTATAACAATAAACATACACAATCAATATTGAATACATTTAACATTTTCTAAATAAATAGTTGTTTAACACAAAATAAAAAATGGGGGGTGAAGTGTCTCAATCAAATTTCTTAAAATGAAGGGTGAACTGTCTGAGGGGTGAAGTGTTTGCAAAAAAGGGCCTAGGGTGAAGTGTCTGGGGGTGAAGTGTCTGTAAACCATATAGACTAGTGTAGGAAAAACCATTGAAGTCTTTTTTTGTGAAACTTTAATGCCCAAAGCTTGGGTATTTGTCATGAAGCATTCCACAACTACAATCTACAAATAATATTAGCTTGGGTAAAAAATGACAAACCCAATGGATGCATTCCTGACTTTAACATTGAAAAATGAAAATTGTGACGTTTTCCAGGAATGTTTCTCAAGTGAGGTATCCAGGGCCATTATGGCCCTCATGTTTAGATAAGATTATGAATGGAATGAAGATCATAAGGCATTGGATATTGGTTTTGACAGACATGCCATTTCAATATCCCTTTCAGATTTCATGAGCCGGAAATAGAAAAAGTATTTGTGCAGATGATAAATACATTAAAATATATTTAAGCTGATAATGTAATACTATGTGCATTGAAAACCAAATTATTTTTCAGGTGTAGAGGAGTTGATTGCCTTGGAAGAACTTGATGTCTCTGAAAATTTTCTGCTTGATCACATGGTTTTACAAGGTCTTAAAGCATTGAAAAGACTTCAAGTGGTGAGTGAAAAAGTCTTGTTGGATCGCACTGTAATATCCCAACAAAGTTTTAGGGATATACAGGAGTGAGCTTGTCAGTCCACCATTTGCTCATTGCATCTGTTTTATAGTTTCTGGCAGATGATAGAGATAGGGATACTTTAAGCTGAGCTGAAATAAGCTTTTGTGATGGGAGGGTGTATGTAATCCTTTAACCATGTCATTATCCACAACTTCTTTAAACAACATTTCCTGAATCATTTGATTGATTTTGGGGGTATTCATGGCTGAGTTGTTAATGTTCTTTACTTCAAACCACTAGCCGCTGAAGCCGGTAGTTTGTTCCTGCAAGGGACTTGGTTTCTTTTTGAGAAAGCTACCCAGGTAGCTTATGGAATATCAGTGGTTCTTCTCAGTTGCCTGTTTGTGCCTGAAATAATGAACAGAGAATAACATAATCTCATCCTTTGCAAGTAAAGCTGTCAATTTCATCTTAAACAAAGGAAAACAGAAGGAGTTGCAAAAAAATCAGAGTATTGATCCTATATATACTAAAAATAACTGTTATATTTTTTATGAAACATTGTCTGGTGGACCTCTACAAAATAATTGTTCAAATTATAGCGCTTAGTTCAAAATTGGTCCCGCCCTGGGGGAACATAGCTTTTCTTAACCCATTACTCCATAGAGAATTGAGATAACAGGCACTCCTTATCTATACCATATATAGGTAAAGGCTTATCAGTAGTCCATAGATAAGACAGCCACTATACTACACCATCTCCATACAAGGAAATGATAAAAATGGAGGATACTTTAACCCTTATTTTCAGTATTTTCTGATAAATATATGGTTTTGCTGTAAATAAAACATTTTTAGTGTAGAAAATTTCCTTTCTAGTGATAAAATTTTTAAAACAATTGGACTATTATATTGTTTGCAACAGAAGTATAAACCTATTATAAACAATAAAATCAAGACAAAAATAAACTAAAATTAAACTTTATTAAACATAATACAACAAATGCACTTTTTAGCTCACCTGTCACAAAGTGACATGGTGAGCTATTGTGATCGCTTTTCGTCCGCCGTCCGTCCATAAATTTAAACTTAAAAAATCTTCTTTAAAAAAACCCCAAAAAGCTAGAGCTTAGATATTAGGCATGAAAGATCTTTTAGTGGGTGTCTACCAAGTGTGTTCAAATAAAAGCCCTGGGGTAAAAATTGGCCCCACTCTTATCTTTTTGAACTATTGTTTTCCTTTAGCAATAGAAACTTGCAGTAATGTTTTTACACATGCACTATTTTAGATACAAATATGATCTATGTGAAATCAGTTTTAGATTCAGATTTTACATCTGCTTTTATTAGCTCACCTGTCACAAAGTGACAGGGTGAGCTTTTGTGATCGCTTTTCGTCCGGCGTCCGTCCGTCGTCCGTCCGTAAACTTTTGCTTTAAATGACATCTCCTCATAAACCACTGAGCCAATTTCATCCAAACTTCACAGGAATGTTCCTTTGGTGGTCACCTTTAAAAATTGTTCAAAGAATTTAATTCCATGCAGAACTCTGGTTGCCATGGCAACCAAAAGAAAAAACTTTAAATATCTTCTTTTAAAAAACCATAAGAGCTAGAGCTTAGATATTTGGCATGAAACATCTTCTAGTGAGTGTCTACCAAGTTTGTTCAAATAAAAGCCCTGGGGTCAAAATTGGCCCCGCCCCTGGGGGTCATTGATTTTCCCTATATGCATATAGTAAAAACTTAAAAAATCTTCTTTTAAAGAACCGTAACAGCTAGAGCTTAGATATTTGGCATGAAACATCTTCTAGTGAATGTCTACCAAGTTTGTTCAAATAAAAGCCCTGGGGTCAAAATTGGCCCCGACCCAGGGGGTCATTGATTTTCCCTATATGCATATAGTAAAAACTTAAAAAATCTTCTTTTAAAGAACCATAAGAGCTAGAGCTTAGATATTTGGCATGAAACATCTTCTAGTGAATGTCTACCAAGTTTGTTTAAATAAAAGCCCTGGGGTCAAAATTGACCCTGCCCCAGGGGGTCATAGATTTTCCCTATATGCATATAGTAAAAACTTAAAAAATTTTCTTTTAAAGAACCCAAAGAGCTAGAGCTAAGATATTAAGCATGAAACATCTTCTAGTGAGTGTCTACCAAGTTTGTTCAAATTAAAGCCCTTGGGTCAAAATTGGCCCTGCCCCGGGGGTCATTGATTTTCCCCATATGCATATGGTAAAAACTTAAAAAATCTTCTTTTAAAGAACCCAAAGAGCTAGAGCTAAGATATTTAGCATGAAACATCTTCTAATGAGTGTCTACCAAGTTTGTTCAAATAAAAGCTCTTTGGTCAAAATTGGCCCCGCCCCAGGGGGTCATTGATTTTCCCTATATGCATATAGTAAAAACTTAAAAAATCTTCTTTTAAAGAACTCAAAGAGCTAGAGCTAAGATATTTAGCATGAAACATGTTCTAATGGGTGTCTACCAAGTATGTTCAAATAAAAGCCCTGGGGTCAAAACTGGCCCGGGGGTCATTGATTTTCCTTATATGTGTATAGCAAAAACTTAAAAATCTTCTTTGGAAAGACCCAAATAGCTAGAGTTTAGATATTAAGCATGAAACATCTTTAAGTAAATATCTACAAAGTTTGTTAAAATAAACGCCCGGGGGTCAAAACTGGCCCTGCCCCAGGGGTGACATTGTTTTTAACTATATGTGTATAGTAAAAACTTTAAAAATCTTCTTTTAAAAATGCCAATGAGCTAGAACTTAGATGTTTAGCATGAAACATCTTCTTATGGGTGTCTACCAAGTCTGTTCAAATAAACAAATAAAAGCCCTTGGGTAAAAATTGGCCCGGGGGTTGGGGGCCTATATACAGGTGAGCGACCTCAGGGCCATCATGGCCCTCTTGTTTATAGATTACGATATTACTTGTTCCTTGTGATGGAGAGTTTTATATTCAGGTTAGCGATTTTAGGGCCATCATGGTCCTCTTGTTTCACAAATGAAATCTTCACATCTTTACATTATATTTAAGATGAGATATCATTCTGTGTAACAAGCATGTGTTTAAAGAGAACAGTTGTTCTGTTATAAGCAAATCGCAGTTCTGTGGAGACCTTGCTTTTGGGCCCCCTATGATCAAGTTTGTAAAAGTTAAAGATAGTCTTTTCAGTTAGTAAGTATGGCATGAAATACTGTTGTCCAATTGAGCATACTGCAAGCTTATGTGAATACCTCATTTGGATAGCATTTGTGCTTCTGAGGTCAAAGTAACTGTTACTTAAAGTAGAAGAAAAGAAAAGTTGTTTGGGCCGTTCTCTCATACAATAGAATTATTATAAGGTGGCAGGTAGGGGTATGAATCACCTGAAGTAATAACTCTAGTTTAGTTTTATAAAGATAAATTTGTTGTACAATATTTCTTGTAAAATTATATGGTACAATAATGTAAAACAGGTATGACAGATACTAAGATTTTCATCTCACCTTAGCACAAAGTGATCACCAGATGTTACGCTTTTGTTAGTATTTTACTTTAAAAACCACCTTTTTCTAAACCCTTTCACCGATACCTAATATACTATACAGAGATGATCCTTGGATGGTCCTCTAGGAACGTTGCTCATACACCGGGTAGTTATGGTTTCTACAAGATTGCCACCATTTAAGGGAAAAACTGTTAAATGATGTTACTTCTTGAGCAAATCAGATTCTGAACAAGTTCCAATTATGTAATGATTAGATGTAAGTGGTCCTTCAAATCACTGTGATCTGTATAAAAAAAATGCAACCAGAGCTAGAAATAGCACTTAGAAGCCCCTCTCCCATACTACTTTGAAGACTTTGATGAAATTCTACTGAAATGATCCTAAAATTGCTAAAATTGTTCCAGTCTGGCTCTGCTGAACAAGATGACTGCCAGAGCTAAAAAATAGAAAACTTTTTAAAAAGCTGAATACTTTATAATTTAGCAATAGTGATAATGTAATCCTTCACAAATATTGCCAATATTGTTTAAAATTGCTGAACAAGATGGTAGTAATAGATAAACGTAGAAATAAGTTTAACTACATCATCATCTCAAGAATGCTAAGATTGTTTATTGAATCTTTACAGGAATGGTCATTAAGTAGTTCTTTACAAAAATGACAAAATAGTTTGGGTCTGTTGAATAGAATGATAGAATGGCCACTAATGCAGGCGTCACACTGTCCCAAATTTGGCATCAGATGGACACACGAATAAGGAAATGTTAAAATTCGGATCTGATCGTAATAACATCGGGCCATTCGTGAGAGCATCTTTTGCCATCGTATGACCCCCAACTAAATTTTTCAGGCTCCGGCAGCAACTTCGTGAGCGATCACAAAATCTTTGGACCACGATGGGTACGAAGAAAGCAAATTTGAGTGGCTTAAGCGTTGCATATTTATCATGGTGGACATATAAAAGGCTAGCCTCAGACCATCTTCCTCATCTGTCAGTCTTGCACATCTCTATAGAGACATCAAAAGCTTCCATTATTTGCAATTTATTAAAAATTAATTTCATTTTATTTCCTGCAGAAATCAGTTTTGATGATGAGTCAACCGTGTAAAAGAAGGCAGCTGCATTGCTAATTTTTAAGTTATTATTACACCTTAGAAAACATGATGAGCAACTCCTACAAGCCCACCTTGGCTGGCATGATGTGTAATCAAATATGATAAACAAGATCAAAAAGGAAAGACGGCGTTCAATGAACGCAACCCCCACACGACCCAGCAACAAGAACTAGTGACAATGAGTTAAGTAGGACCCAAAACAAAAACACGACAGAGAGCATTGCAGAGCAAGGACGGGTTGATCATTAAAATGATACATAAGTATAAATAATAGTAACCGACAAGGAAATCAAAGAAAACAAATAAATGATTAATTAACAGGCCCACAAAGCAAGGACACATGGGAAGGGGGTAAGAGATTCCGTGAAGGGTGGAGGGGGGCAAAATAAAAAAAATAAAACTAGGGGCAAAAGGGAAGATACTTACCGTAGACGAGAATACAACAAGGGGCGCAGACAAATATGTCACAAAAGCAGTATGAAACAACAGACATACATCTGAGGAATACAGAGGGGCGCCGCCTTGGAACGGCCAGCAGCATAAGTACTGCTGGGGAGTTTAAACCTGTTTATGGTGCACCAAACCTCATTCTTAACCCCACCAGGTTCCTATAAACAAGACAGGGTAAATAAAATGAATCCTCGCCAAGTGAAATTCTAACAGTTGTTACAGTTACAAAAGGTGAACACTGAAATGATCATGTAGAAACATATAAAAGAAAATCCTTTGACCATAACAAAAGTACTCAGTGTCTTAATGGAAGACAGAGTAACAAGAAAATCACCTACAAGGGCCCAATGAAGCAAGAAAGAAGACGAACATTAAGGCAATTCAGTCCCAAAGGGCTTTAAGAACTGTCCATCATTGAGTCTCCCACTTGGTCCGTCAGATGTAATCAAAAGAGGAAAGTGTAGAGTCCAACTGTAAAAGTGTTAAACACTAAGCGTACGGAAGGGTCATAACCTCTTTTAAGACAAAGTTTAATAAATTTAGTAAAGACAACAGAAAAATTACAATGACCCAAGATCATAGGAAGTTTGTAAATAACAGCCCATTAAAAATCAGGATGGTTAATCCATTGTCACAGAAGTGTTTTTAAATCACTTTTGAATTTTGAGATTAAATCAAAGTTACAATTGTAAAAAATTTAGGTAATTTATAATCGTGGTAGCCCTGTTTGAGTAGCTTGCTAGTAATGAAAATATTTCACTCGTTAAAACCCTTTATGTTGCTACAAGCTCTTGCAAATTTAAATAACTGAGAAACATATACCCCGTAAGATGTTGCATGCGGTACATCTCCATCTAAATGTGGATAATTTACTATACCAAAATCAAAATCATCTCTTTTATCATAGATTTTCGTGTAAATAGAATTGTTCTTGATAGTAATATGAAGATCTAAAATAAAATTTAAACCTAGTTTAGCTCCTAATATTATCTGCCATTGAAATTTGCCGTGGTTGCCGGAGGTTTTATATCACCTGGAGGTCATTTGACGCCTTCGTAACCACGTACGATCTCATCGTACTCAAAATACGACGTCGTGTACCTATCCCGTGAACTTCGCGTGTACTGCGGGTAAACTACTTGGTAAAAATTTGCATCTTTGAGGTGACTTCGTGTGTGGATCTGATGCCATCGCGTGACCTTCGGTAGGAATCTTGTGTGGAACGGATGCGATCGCGTGACCTTCTGTAGGAATCATTCTTGCTTCGGCTGTTGAGGGGCTGTCGACCTATTTCGGGACAACCTTTGCGCGAAATTTCAAATTCCAAATTCGTGTGCCCATCTGGTGTCAATTTCGGGACAGTGTGCAACGCCTGCATAAACCATGCCTAAAAATAAAAAGTAAGCTTTAAACAACATTTTTGTAGATTTTAATGAAAGTGAAATTAACTGAAAATTTACAAAAATTGTTCCAATCTGCTGAACAAGGGTGCCAAGAGTTAGAAAAAAGTGTCATTTTCCCCTCACACATCCTTTTATAGATTTTCATGAAACTATAATAATGATCAATAAATAAAGTTATACAACGCATTTTTAAAATCTTTGTGATCTGTTAAATGTGAAGGACAGCAGAGCTAAAAATAGAAATAAACTTTAAACTGCATCTCCTCTTCAAACTGCTGGGCAAATGTTCATAAACTTTAATAGAAAAAATAAAAAAAATGTTGAACAATGCTAACTATTGAAATAAGACTTGATTAACAGCTTTACAGCTTGTCTGATTTTGATGAATCATAATAGGAATGACCCTATAATGAAATCTTGTTCATTAAAACCATATTCTCAGGTGAGGAATTCAGGGTCTTGTTGCAGTATTTATTCACATGCTTAGAATGTAGCTCTTTGAATGCTGGAGTGCAAATTTATTTTCAGTTATGTATGGTAGGAAATCCTTTGTGTTATAAAATAGATCACAGAATGCTCACACTACAACATGTTTATCCGCAAGCGGGGCTTGGTGTGTTCCTACTTGATGGAAAAAGACTAACAAATCATGAAGTTATGGTATGTGCCTAATTTTGATATACTGTACAGCAGGAGATATGTTTCCAAATTGTCCACAACAACTTTGTTTGTATTATTTACAGTATACCCCCGCACAACAAAGTTGTAACGGGGGTAATTAGTGGAATCAGCTTTTCTGTCCAGCCGTCCATCGGTTTTTCCTTGTCCGCCCAATAATTTAAGATTCCTTTGACCAACAGTCACCATATTTGGCATGGAGGTTAGTCATGATTATTAGATCACCCCTATTAATTTGAGGTAACTGGGTCAAAGGTCCAGGTCATATTGGCCTTGACTAAAAAAAGCTTGTCCACCCAATCACTTAAGATTCCTTTGACCCACAGTCTTAATATTTGGTATTGAGCTTTGTCATGATTATAAGATGACCCCTATTGATTTTCAGGTGACCAGGTTAAAGGTCAAGGTCACAGGGGCCTAGACAAAAAAAGCTTGTCCGCCCAATAACTTAAGAATCCTATGACAAACAGTCTTCATATTTGGCATGGAGCATAGTCATGATTGTTAGATGATCACTATTGATTTTGATGTTACTGAGTCAAAGGTCAATGTCACAGGGGCCTTAAATAAAAAAAGCTAGTCCGCCCAATATCTTAAGATTTCTTTGAACCACAGTTTTGATATTTGGCATGGATGTTGGTCATGACCATTAGATGACCCTATTGCTTTGAAGGTCACTGCGTCCAAGGTCCAGATTACAGGGGCCTTGACATCAAAAAGCTTGTCCGCTCAATTGCTTTAGACTGTTTTGGTTAACAGTCTTCATATTTTGCATGGAGTCAAGTCATGACCATTAGATGAACCCTATTGATTTTTAGATCACTGAGTTAAAGGTCAAGGTCACAGGGGCCTTGACTTAAAAGCTTGTCCAACCAATGCATACATGTGACAAACGAAATGGGCCAAATCTGGATTTTCAGCTTGATTTTGAGGCTCAAAACTGGATTTTTTTATTGACTCGAATTTTAATGTGTGTTTGGCACATTTGGTTCAAAGAATCTATATTAGCCTCAAAATCATTAAATGATTATACTTTTTATGATTTTTTTGTTGATCAGTATTACTTTATTTCACCAAAAAAATAAATAAATAGATAAATAAATAAGTGTAGTCATACAGGCTATTTCTAAAACAGACACATTTTCACATTTCATTATTTTCAGTTTGAATAATTATATCTGTCTTTTCAGTCATACAATAATTGGCTAATAATTTAAAACACAAGCTATTTGAAAACGTGCAACAACTATTCATGAACTTAAGACTCTGACAGTTAAATAACGTAACGTAAGTAGAAGACTCAAAATAAATGCAAGAATCGTTACGTTAATTAAATCCACATTTTTGCCTCGATGATTGTGTAATTCCTAAACAAAACAAAAAAATTACCCACTCACTAAAAATAGGTTAATTAGACATGGTTTTGCTGCATCTCAAACAGGTTTTTGAATGATCCACTTAAATGATTCTGCTCACCTTTAGTCTTTATCAGTGCACGCGCTAATCAAAGAAAATCAAAGGTTGAGCCGAATTCATACATGTAAATTAACAGGGTCGTTTTGATGATGTAGCGTGTAATACCTACTGCCAAATTATAAAAGAGGTCAATTGACTGACACACAACACGTGTTAAGTTAAATATGTGAGAATAACTTTGGGTGATGGAACTGTTTATAACGTCACCTTGCTGTCAATTAACGACTCAACATTTAATCCGCTGTAATTTAGGATATGGACAGTAACAATCAATGCCTGGAGGCACGGTTTACATTTTAGATACAGGTGCTGTGTTTGGTTTTTTTTATGTTGATTTTTTTTTTAAATATCGGGAATTCAAGCTGTTATATCGGGAATCGGGATCAGTGTCGAAATATCGGGATTTTTTAAAATCCCGCCGGGATATCACATGTATGCCAATGACCTAAGAATCCTTTGACCCGTGTCCGCTCCATAACTTTTTGACTGCTGAAAAAAATTTGAAATAACTTGGCATAAGTGATCACCATTATGAGATGATGTGCAGAGCACAATAATTGGGTTGCTACCAACCAAGAACAAGATCACACTTAAATGTCAAGTGTTAAAAAGTCTTCATTTTGTGTCCGCTCCATTTGAACTGCTGCAATGTTTTTAAGATAACGTGGCAGAAATGATCACCATTATGACACCATGTGCAGAGCACAACAATCAAGTTACTATCCTAAAGGTCAGTTCACACACAAAGATCCAATGCTAAAACATCTATTTTTTATGTCCGCTCTATTCTTTTTAACCAGGTTTTCAAAGAAAACCGGGTTATTGTAATGCTGAAGTCGGCAGGCTGGTGGGCTGTCAGGCGGACGGGCCTCAATAAATTTTTTGCTTCGGTTATTGACACCAAACTTGGTGTATGGGTAGTTTACATCAAGATGCAGCTTGGGATTACTACCCAGGTGTTTGTGATCAAGGTCAATGTCACTGTTACTATAAATAGAAATTCAGTTTCCGCTCAATAACTTGAATTGCTTTGGCATATTGACACCAAGATGGTGTATGGGTAGCTTATATCAAGAGGCAGCTTGGGATTGCTAACCTGGTGTCTGTGATCAAGGTCAAGGTCACTGTTGCTAAAAATAGAAATTCAGTTTCCGCTCAATAACTTGAGTTTGCTTAAACCTATTGACACCAAACTTGGTGTATGGGTACCTTATATCAAGACGAAGCTTGGGGTTGCTACCCAGGTGTCTATGGTGCTGGTCAAGGTCACTGGTACTAAAAAGTAGAATTTCAGTTTCTGCTCAATAACTTCAGTTTGCTTTGGCCAATTGATGCCAAACTTGGTGTAAAGGTACCTTATATCAAGAGGTAGCTTGGAATTCCTACCCAGATGTGTTTGATTAAGGTCAAGGTCACTGTTGCTTAAATTATAAGTTAAGTTTCCGCTCAATAACTTCAGTTTGCTTTGACCTATTAACATAAAACTTAGTATGTGTGTAGCTTATATCAAGACACTACTTGGGCGGGCGTCAACTGTTGCTAAAAATAGAAATTAGGTCTCGGCGTAATAACCTATTGACACCAAAATTAGTATGTGGGTAGCTTATATCAAGAGGCAGCTGGGAGTGCTACCCAGGTGTCTGTGAACAAGGTCAAGGTCACTGTTCCTTAAATAATAACTACAGTTTGCTTTGACCTATTGACACCAAACTTGCTGTGTTTGTCAGCTTATATTAAGATGCAGCTTTGAATTGCTACTTAAATATATTGGAGCAAGGTCAATGTCACTTGTTTACAATAGAATTTTCAGCTCATACTCATTAACTTCAGTACACTTTGAACTTTGATACTTAACTTGGCATGTGTGTAGCTTACATGAAAATACAGCCTGGCATTGATACTCAGGTATCTGGTATATATTTATTTTGAACTAATGAAACCAATTTTCTGTGTTGGTGCAAATAACAGCATCATTTTTTATTCACTGCCATATTTCATTCCTAATTCCTGTCACATCAATACTTGGTGGTTGAAAACCTGGTTTTCGTCGTATTGTGGTGCTTTGTGTTTAAATTACTTGGCACAAATGATCCCCACCATGACACAATCTGCAGGGCACAACATCCAGGTTGCTGCCCCAAGTTACATCCAGGTTACTACCCCCAAGGTCAATGTTAAATGTTCTCCATAACTTTTTGACCTAACGAAAGATTATAAATAACTTAGCAGAAAGAATCACCATTATGAGACTATGTGCTTATGATATGCATGGCACAACATCAAGGTCATGGTTGGGTAAAGGTCAAGAAGTACACATTCATGTTGGCTGTGGAAGGTTATTTAGCTGTCCTTCAGACTGCCTTGTTGGTATTCTAAAAATTTCTTATGAGGTATGATCAAAAAGTTCTCGGGCCCGATATACTTCTAGCCACAACACTGACATTTACACACGATACTTCGATACCAATATCTTATTTAAGATTACTGACCGAGTTACATGCAGTTTTACACAGATTAAGTAACATAAAACACACTTTGATCTCCATTTAGACCAAATGGAGAAAGTTGAAATCAGAGCCGTCTCTGTAAGAAAGGGATGTCCCCCAAAGAAATCCATGAGGACTTCATGGATACACTTTGGAAGGAGTCCCTTTCCTATAGCACTGTAAAAAAATGGGCTGCTGAATTTAAGAGGGGCAGGGAAAGCATTTGAGATGATGAGCTGCCTGGCCGGCCAAAAGAGGCCACCAACGATGAAACTGCCGAAGCTGTGCACGATCTGGTCATGTACGACAGAAGGCGAGACCTGCGAAGCATTGCTAGGTAAGTAGGTATAAGCTTTGGTTCAGTTCAAGCAATTCTGACTGATGTCTATGGCATGTCAAAGGTTTCCGCTAGGTCTGACTGACGACCAGAAAAGGATCAGGCTTGACATTTCAAGATATCTTTTGTCTCACTACAAGGATTAACCTGATTTTATCTACCGGATCGTAACTCAGGATGAAACATGGGTCCATCACTTCGATCCAGAATGAAAAAACAACAGAGCATGCTGTGGAAGCACCCTGGCTCACTCACGCCCTGCGAAGAAATTCAAGAGTGTGCCATCAGTAGGGAAGATGATGGCTTCAATTTTTGGGATAGTCGGAGGAAAATCATGATTGACTATCTTGAGCAAGGTCGTACCATAAACAGTACATACTATGCAGACGAATTGAGATGTCTGCATCAAGAAATCAAGCATAAAAGGAGGGGCAAAATGACTCAAGGCGTTCTGCTCCTGCACGACAATGTGCCAGCTCACACATCCCAAGTTGCGATGGCAGCTGCAACTGATTTCGGCTTTGAAATTCTTCCCCATCCCCCATATTCTCCAAACTTGGCCCCCTCTGACTTCTACTTGTTTCCAAAACTGAAAACCAAGTTTTGTTGTAGACGTTTTTGAAGCAATGAAGTTGTCATGGAGGCGGTCAATGAGTTCTTTGAGGACCAAAATAGAGAGTTCTATTTTGAAGGGTTAAACAAGTTGGAGCATAGGTAGGCAAAGTGCATTGATGTAGAGGGCGATTATATTGAAAAGGAATACCATTATTTGGGTTCTCCGACTACCGGAAGTACATCGGGCCAAGAACTATTTGATCAAACCTCGTAGAAAATTTTTTTTTTTAACTTTCATTCAACTGGATGTTTAAAGGAACTCCACTGAGGTTTATAAGGCTAAAAATATAAAATTTTAATTTTTCAAATAGTTGAACGTGAGCACTTAAAACAGAAATATAAATAAAACATAACTAAGAAATATACAAGAAATACATTGAAAATTGTATGTTTGTGCTATTCTCAGTTCGATTTGAGTTAAAAGCGTTTAAACGCTTTTCAATTTTGATTCATTTTTCACTATTATAATAATTATTCTTGAAAAACAGAGAGAGCTAATGATCTGAAATTTTGCACATAAGTTATAAGTATAGATCTTTATCAAATGGAGTAATAATCTCAAAAAATTATTTCAGTCCCATCATGTCAAAAAACCTCAGTGGAGTCCCTTTAAAATAAATCCAGACTGATTGGGAGCATTTTGTAGGTACACGATGATGTAGTATCCAACCATTGATATAGTAAAAAATTAAAAAATCTTCTTCTCTGAATTGACAATGGTTAGTGGTCATGTATGAAACATTTTGTAGAGGACCTCTGGACCTCTGTTCATATTATAGCCTTGTGGTCAAAATTGGGTCCCACCCTGGCTATCATTGATTTCATTATCACAGCAATATAGTAAAAACTGAAACTAAAAAAAATCTGAATAGGAGAAAGTTCGAGCTAAGATAGTCGACATGAAACATTGTCTGGTGGACCTGAATCAAGATTGTTTAAATTAAAGCCTTGGGGTATAAAAGTGTGACATGCCCAAGGGGACACAGTGACCTAAATTCTTGTCTTTTGATGTACAGCCATGAAATTAGGACCATTTGCACAGTTTGAGATGAAAAAATGAATTTTAATATCAGCTGACCTAGATTTTTACAAGTAACCTACTTTCTTGTCCTTTGATGTACAGCGATGACATTTGGACCATGTACACAGTTTTAGACTAAAATTCAATTTTGATAACAGCTGACCTAAATTTTGATGATGTGACCGACTTTCTTGTCCTTTGATGAACAGCAATGAAATTTGGATCATGTGCACAGTTTTAGATGTAAATTTTAACATTGGTATCAGCTTACCTAGATTTTGATGACCTTTTTTGGCTCTTTAGCTCACCTGTCACAAAGACATGGTGAGGTGAGCTTTTGTGATTGCTTTTTCGTCCGGCGTTCGTCCATCTGTAAACTTTTACTTTAAACGACATCTCCTCATAAACCGTTAAGCCAATTTCATCCAAACTTAACAGGAATGTTCCTTTGGCAGTCAACTATAAAAATTGTTCAAAGAATTCAATTCCATGCAGAACTCTTAGGTTGCCCTGGCAACTGAAAGAATAAACTTAAGAAATCTTCTTTAAAAAAACAAAAGAGCTAGAGCTTTAATATTTGGCATGAAACATTGTCAATCAGTGTCTTCCAAGTTTGTTCAAATAAAAGCCCTGGGGTCAAAATTGGCCCCCGGGGGGTCATTGATTTTCCTTATTTGTATATAGTAAAAACTTAAAAATCTTCTTTTAAAAAACCCAAATAGCTAGAGCTAACATATTTAGCAAGAATCATCTTCTAATGGGTGTCTACCAAGTTTGTTCAAATAAGGGCCCTGGGGTTAAAAAAATTGGCCCCACCAAGGGGGTCATTGTTTTTCCCTATATGTATACAGTAAAAACTTAAAAAATCTCTTTTAAGAACCCCAAAGAGCTAGAGCTTAGATATTTATCATGAAACATCTTCAAATGGGTGTCTACCATTTTTAGTTTGTTTAAATAAAAGCCCTTGGGTTAAAATTGGCCCTGCCCTGGAGGCCTTTATACAGGTGAGGATTTCAGGGCCATCATGGCCCTCTTGTTTAGCTCACCTGAGTTGAGCTTTTGTGATCTCAATTTGTCCGGTGTCCATCGTCTGTTTGTGCATGTTATGTGCGTCCATTGACAACTTTTTATACAAACGACTTCTTCTTTGAAATCACTGGGCCAAATTTGATGAAATTTTCCAGTTCCTAGTATTATGTTCTACCAAAATTGTTCAAATGGTTCTGCTCCAGTGAACATCTGAGTCAGGAGGGCTAAAAATAGATTTTAAAAATGAAATTGCAAGTTCTATAGCTTAGATATTTGTGTGTATCATTATCACATAGAATTCTACAAAAATTATTCAAATTATACCCCAGAGGGTCATTAATTTTCATAATATGTATATAGTAAACCTTTAAAAATCTTATCTTAATTGACAAAGGCTAGAGGTCAGATATTTGGTAGGAAACATTGTGTATGAACCTTTACCAAAATTGTTCAAATAATAGCCCTGGGGTCAAAATTGACCCTGCCCCGGAAGTTATTGATTTTCATTATGTACATAATGTTAGTAAAATCTTTAAAAAATCTTTTTTTCTGAAGATATAAGGCTTAGAGCTTTGATATTTGGTATATTATTTATATGTCATCTAACAAAGTTGTTCAAAGTTTTTCTCTTGTGTAAAAATTGTCCCCTACCCGGGGGGCCATAGGTTTCAAATATGGTAAAACGCTCTAGGGATTACTGTTTTAGTTAAAATATGTTGGAAGTTGGTGAGAAAGGTTGTTCTGATGATTTCTATGGCAATTTCAAGTATGGGTTATCTGGGGCTAAAAACTAGGTCACGCAACCCAAGTATGGAAATATCCTGGAAATTGGTTGGAAGGTTGTTGTATGATTTCTAGCTTAAGTTCATATATAGTTCTTCTGTGGTCAAAAGCAAGATTACACCGCCTAAAAATTGGAGAACCTTGCTAACACTGTAGAGGCCAAATATCCTGGAAATTAGTCTGAAATGTAAATTGTTCAGATGGTTTGTAGGTCATGTTTGAATACGGTTCATCTGGGGTCAAAAACCAAGTCACAAAACCAAAATTATGGAAAAATAATGTTTACATTATAGAGGTAATATTTTCATCCCAAATATTCTGAAAAATTGTCAGAAACTTTAAAAATTTTGATGATTTTTAAGTCAAAATTTAGTTCACACAGACCAAAAGTAAAAAAGCTTTATCACTCTAGAGGTTACATTTTCAGCCCACAAAATCCTGGAAATTTGTCAGAAAGGTTTTTTGTACTATTTCTTGTTCAGGTTTGAATATAGGTCATCACAGGTCACACCATATAAAAAGGCTTACATGGAAAAACTTTATGAACATTTGCACTATTTCAGGTGCAGATATGAATGTTATGATATCAGTTTAAGTTTATGGCATTACATCTGCCTTTCATTCATTGCTAACAATATATTAATTCAGAGTCTGAGTTATCAGATGAGCAATATAATTATATACAGGTTTCACTTTTTCAACCATGTTCACAATTTCAGGTGAAAGGCTGAAATTTGATATCAAATTACTGGGCCCTCAATCAAATTTGGGGGAAGTGGGTCGCTACCCTCAGCAGGGGGAATATTAGTGTATGGGGGGATTTTTTTTCCCTTTTAAAAGCCCGAAAGAATTTCGGCATATTATGATATACCCCCTGGCGTCCGTCCGTTAGCAATTTAGTTTCCGGAGCATAACTTAAGTTTCATAAGGCCCACAATATTCAAACTTCATAGGATGATTGTCCATATTGGGTAGAAGACCCCTATTGATTTTGGGGTCAAAAGGTCAAAGGTCAAGGTCACTATTACATTAAACTGAAAACAGTTTCCAGAGCATAACTTAAGTTCCATTTGGCCCACAATATTCAAACTTCATAGGATGATTGTCCATATTGGGTAGAAGACCCCTATTGATTTAAGGGTCACAAGGTCAAAGGTCAAGGTCAGTATTACCTTAAAACTGAATACAGTTTCCGATCAATAACTTAAGTATTAATCAACCTACTGGGGTAAAATTTTATAGGATGAACAGCCAGTCAATCCGTCAAACAGAAACATGCAGACATGTTTACAATATTCCGCTAAAAAAAAACCGTCAAAAAGATGTTATTACTTTAAACAAAAACAAAAACCAAAAAACCCCATAAATTTTCATTTTTTTTCTTAAGACTTCATATGTTTTGAGGGGGAATTTTTTCCTCTGTAGGGAAAAAAAAATACAATTTTTGGTGGGGGATTGGGGCCAATTATCGGCAGCAGATGTGGTTGATCAAGGGCCCTGAATTACCTAAATAATGACTTAGTGACCTACTTTCTTGTTTTTGATTTACAGCTATGAAATTAGGACCGTGTATATAGTATAATTTAAAAAAAAATCATTTTATATGAAGTATGGTCTACTAACGAACATCGTTCAAATTCTTGTAATAAACACTTTCACTGTTTTCACACAAATAAAACTTTGTCCTCAGTTGAGCGCTTTTGGGCCAATGTCCCCTTATTTTAAAGATTTGTTAAAGCCTTTGATATTGTTTTCCTTTAGAAAAAGTAAAAAAGTTGACTGTTGCTTTGATTCCTGTTAATTATGTTACTTTACAGTCTGTGTTAGATATGTTTGGTGATACAATTGAAAAGTTGTTGATGAAAGCTTTGGTGCTGTGCATGACAACACATTTCAAAAATGTATTGGCTTCACCATCATTTGATTTAACATCAGGCATGTACGATTTTTTTCCAGGTTTTGCAAGAATATCAGTACAGATATAGTTATGATGTTACAATGGATGCCAGTACATGTACATTAGGTGTGAGATACCCTGATCAAACAACAGCTAATTTCCAGTTGAGTCCTTATAGATATAAAAAGAAACATGGTCACAGAAGGAAACCTAGCAAGGGAAGATTACAAAAGATTGTAAATATAGAGGACTGTCTGGAAGAGAACCATATTATTCAGCCATTAGGTAAAATTTTAGTGATTTTCAGTGAATTTTCTGTTTGTGTGAACCAATATTCAGGATAAGTTTCAAATCAGACATTTTTTCAGGGTTTACAGGGTCTATTGTCAGAAATTCATGTATGCATCTTTATCTCTGAAATGTCAAATTTACTTAGGTTTTTAACATAATTACCCTAATGCACATGCTCCAGGTAAGCTATTGTTATCAGACTGTGTCCATTGTCCATCGCCCTTTCTGCATCACGTGTTTTGCCATGTCAGCTTTGAGCTCACCTGAGCTGGATTGATGAAAGTCTATTGTTTGTCTTCAGTCCACACTTAGTTTGTTTTCTCTCTAGTGGTTACATTTTGCCTCAGTTGTCACAAAAAAAGAGTGTGTTTGTCCCAGTATTTACTCAGACAAGTTAGAATATTTGTCATCTCAGATATCACAATGACTCAAAAATAAGAAAAATAAAAAAAATGTTAACACTCTAGAGCTACTACTGAAGTCAAAATATCCTGGAAATTTGTCAGAAAGGTTGTTTGGTTAATTTCTTGCTCAATTATGGGTCATCTGCGGTCAGATATTAAGTAACGTGACCGAAATATGGAACAACTTCGTTACCCGTGCATAATCCTGTGACTATCCAAGAAATCCAGAGAAATCTCAGGAATTTGTCCAAGAAAAAATCACAGGATTTCTTCAGATAATCCTGAGACTTTTCATGCTGTTAAAGGGGACTAGATAATCCCAGGACTGTCTCAAAGACAGGAAAAAACTGGAAAAAATATGACTGCTGTCCCGGGAAAGTCCTGCTTCCAGGAATGACCTGTAATGCCAGCAAAGTCTTGTTCTCAGGACAGTCTCATAATTCCAGGAAAGTCCTGTCCCCAGGACAATGCCAAAATCCAAGTAAAGTCCTGTTCCGAGTACAGTCTCATAATCCAAGTAATATCCTGTTTCCATGTTGTAAAATATTTCGGTTCTTGACAATGACTGGCACATTTTATTGTGTATGAAATTGCACAAAGAAACAAAAGTGAACAAAAAATGTTGTTTTTTTCCCACAAAAATTAGTTGATTAAGATAAAAGTTTAATTTACAGTACGGATATTACATTTTTTATCCTTCCGGTTTGCGGGAAAAATCATATAGCAGCTAGCTACACCGCACCTACTGATGATCGAATTATGTCATAATATTTCATTCTGAGAACAAACATACGATTCGAATCATCAAATAATGCATATCAAATGAAATCAACCTCAGAAAACATCTGTATCAATCTGACCTCGAGTTGAGATTATAAATTATACTAAACCGGAAGTACATGACGACACATCCGCCAATCAAGAAAATTGAGAAATTTTGTAACATAAACTCGTATTTCACAACAAAGAAGTGAAGATGAATACAATTATCGGTGTGCTTCGTTGAAACAGGTATTTTGTTAACTATTCGTTAAGTATTAAGGCATGACAATCTGTATTTATGTAAATATCACCTTTCGACTTCCCGTGTTATGATTTATAAAATTATACATGTACACATGTGTTATCGACCTCAATAAATGTTAGTGAAAATGGAAAAATAATTATGGTAATTATCCATGGTGCTAGTAATACTTAATTATCTTTATCATTTTGTTAACTAAGCAAGAAAAAATAACTTAACCTCACAATATTATTAATTTATACTTGAAAATCTTCTAAAACAGTAATTTTGGAATTCATTATTGAAACATGAAAACATGTAAATCATTATCTTCTTTCTTGTCCAAACTTTCAAGTTCAAAGAAATACTTTCTTTGCAAACCTTCAGTGTCCTTTAACTGTTCAAAATTTACTATATGGCTCTGAACATCTCAGCTTTGAACATAACACAAATATCTTTAGTTGCGTCCAAAAATACATTGTCGCCACCAAACGTTTTACTTCTTAGTGCTTGCGCATGTTACAGAACGACTTCATAAGCAGGTTTTATACATTATACTAAGTTAACTGTTTTATCGGTAGCAAACAACTCAGTTCCACACTGGAACCTTTTTTTCACTTTTCAAAATCTCAAAACATTACATATGATTTTGACCAGTCAGCCGTCATCCTTTCCAACCCACTGAGGAAATGAATTTACATAAGTCTTAGACTTGTTTTCAAATCCTCTTCCGAATTTAATTAAGTTAAAAATTCTTTAGCATTGTATATCTTCAACTTATATCATCAGTCTTTCATGTATTTTATCATACAATGTATTCTGTTTGTAATGTATATTTATGTCTTGTAAATTCTGGAAATAAATATTGTTTAAACTAAACATGAAAATGGTTCATGAAGAGATTAAAAGAGAAGAAAAAACTGAAATGACTCATGAAAATTTTGGTCAAACAGTCTGCCACGTGAAATTCTTACCTTCCTGAGATCCCTGCTAATTGTTGTTGTTTTTCTTTTTTTTAGAAAGGGTGTTCTAAATTATGATAAACCACAGATGCTTGGGCCAACATGATACCCCTGAGTAAACACTATCAAAAAATATTTTGATATTTTAACACTAATGGGATATCTGTTACAACTATAATACTGGTTTTCGAAAAAAAAAATCATATATGAAAAAAAAAAATACTGTTTACCATCCTGTATTGCGGCTTGATTCTGGGCAGGCAGGCGAATTGGTTGGGCTATTTTTCGTAACAGTTTTCTCAGCAACTACTTATCAGAGCCTTATGATATTTACTATGCAGCATCAACACATTGTCCAATACCATGAGATTCGATTTTAGGTCTGTCGCTCATCCACTTCATGTTAACTGACTTAGTTAAATTCTTAATAATGGTCAATGGTACGAATTTTTCGTAACAATTTTCTCATTAGTTTAATTCATAATAATGGTCAATGGTACGAATTTTTTGTAACAATTTTCTCAGCAACTACTTATTACAGCCTCTTGATGTTTGGTATACAACATTGATATGATTTCAGGTATGTGGCTCATCCACTTTCAGTTTTCTGACCTTGTGAAATTTTCAGCATTAATTGTAAATGGAAGGAAATTTCCGTAACAGTTTTCTTAGCAACTACATATCACAGCCTCTTGAAATTTGGTATTGTGACTGCAAAGTTCAGGTCTATCGCTTATCTTCTTCCTGTTTACCGACTTAGTTAAATGTTCGATATGAATGGCCAATGGTAGGAAATTTTTGTAACATCACAGCCTCATGAGTCATGTTATTTTGTATACAAATGCAACCCGACCATTTTTGTTTTTGACCCATTTTTAGCTCACCTGTCACAAAGTAACAGGGTGAGCTTTTGTGATCGCTTTTCGTCCGTCGTCCGTCCGTCGTCCGTCTGTCGTCCGTAAACTTTTACTTTAAATGACATCTCCTCATAAACCACTTGGCCAATTTCATCCAAACTTCATAGGAATGTTCCTTTGGTGGTCACCTTTAAAAATTGTTCAAAGAATTTAATTCCATGCAGAACTCTGGTTGCCATGGCAACCGAAAGAAAAAACTTTAAATATCTATTTAAAAAACCCTAAGAGCTAGAGCTTAGATATTTGAGTGTCTACCAAGTTTGGTCAAAATTGGCCCCGCTCGGGGGTCATTGATTTTCCTTATATGTGTATAGCAAAAACTTAAAATCTTCTTTGAAAAAACCCAAATAGCTAGAGTTTAGATATTAAGCATGAAACATGTTCTAGTAAGTGTCTACAAAGTTTGTTCAAATAAAAGCCCTGGGGTCAAAACTGGCCCTGCCCCAAGGGTGTCATTGTTTTTAACTATATGTGTATGGTAAAAACTTAAAAAAATCTTCTTTGAAAAAACCCAATGAGCTAGAGCTTAGATGTTTGGCATGAAACATCTTCTTATGGGTGTCTACCAAGTTTGTACAAATAAACGCCCTGGGGTCAAAATTGGCCCCGCCCGAGGGGGTCATTGATTTTCCCTATATGCATATAGTAAAAACTTAAAAAAATCTTCTTTTAAAGAACTCAAAGAGCTAGAGCTAAGATATTTAGCATGAAACATGTTCTAATGGGTGTCTACCAAGTTTGTTCAAATAAAAGCCCTTTGGTCAATATTGGCCCCGCCCCGGGGGTCATTGATTTTCCTTATATGTGTATAGTAAAAACTTAAAAAATCTTCTTTTAAAAAACCCAATGAGTTAGAGCTTAGATGTTAAGCATGAAACATCTTCTTATAGGTGTCTACCAAGTTTGTTCAAATAAAAGCCCTTGGGTTAAAATTAGCCCTGCCAGGGGGGGGGGAGGTCATTGTTTTTCATTATATATGTATAGTAAAAACTTAACATCATGAAACATCTTCTAATGGGTGTCTTCCAAGTTTGTTCAAATAAAAGCCCTTGGGTTTAAACTGGCCTCGCTCCGGGGGCCTATATACAGGTGAGCGACCTCAGGGCCATCATGGCCCTCTTGTTTGCCTTTGCCGTCCATCTGTCTGTCCATTGTCCGCATTCAGCTTGTTTGGCTGTCACAGGTCAAACTACTTGTGGGATTTTAACTAAAATTCACAAGAGTGATCAGTACCCTCCCTTGTAGTGCACACTGCTGGCATGTTCCACTTCGCTGCATAAAAAGGCCGCCAGAGCTGAAAATAGAAAAATCTTGTCAGACTTGCACAGGTCAAACTGCTGGTGAGATTTCAACCAAACTGTACAGGAGTGATCAGTACCATCCGTAGTTAAGCACATTCCCGGCACGTTTCCTTTGCTGCACAAAATGGCCAACAGAGCTGGTGGGATTTCAAACAAACTTGACAGGAGTGATCAGTACCATCACTACTAGTGCACATCTCCAGCATGTTACTCTTTGCTGCACAAAATGGCTGCCAGAGCTGAAAACAAAATCTTGTCCTGCTTTCAAAGGTCAAACTGCAGGTGGGATTTCATCCAAACTTCTCAGAGAGTGATCAGTACCATCCCTAGTTGTGCACATCTTCGGCACATTCTGCTTTGCTGCACAAAATGGCCACGGGAGCTAAAATTAGAAAATGTCCTGCTTTTTACAGGTCAAACTGCTGATTGGATTTCAACCAAACTTCACAGGAGTGATCAGTGCCATCTGCAGTTGTGCACATCACCAGTATGTTCCGCTTTGCTGCACAAAATGGCGGACAGTTCTGAAATAGAAAAAAAATCCCGGTTTTCACAGGTCCAACTGCTGTTGGGATTTCCATCAAACTTTACAGGGGTGAAAAATGTCATCCTTAGTTGTGCACATTGCCAGCATGTTCCTCTTCGCTGCACAAAATGGCAGCCAGACATGCATATAGAAAAATCTAGTCCGTCTTTCACAGGTCAAACTTTCTGGCGGGATTTAAATGAGACTTTACAGGAGTGATGAGTTCCATACCTTGTTTTGGGGAGACATATATACTTTGATAAAGCAACATTTTGGACAAGAACTTCTAAATGGTTTAATTGACCTTGACCTTGAGCTGTAAATGACCTTGATCAGCAAGTCTAGATTATTGAATTTTTGTTAAACAGTCAAAATTTTGTTATTTATGCTATGATTTGATTTATACTTGGTCAAAACAAAACTTTCTACCAAACAAACATTGAATAATTCAGATGCCACCTTGACCGTCAATGTCATATTTTATTCTATAGCATTAAAATATAGACCATGTGCACAGTTTAAGATGTAAAATTGAACTTTGATATCCTGTGATAAAGATAATTTGATGAAGTGACCTTTCTTGTCCTTTGATGTACAGCTATGAAGTTTTGACCATGTGCTTAGTTTATGATGATAAAATGAACTTTGGTATCACCTGACCTATATTCTGACTATATGTCCTACTTTCTTCACCTAGATAACGTGGTGAAGTGACCTATTTTCGTCTTGTCCAGCTGTGTAATTTGGACCTTGTGCAAAATTTGAAATGCAAAATTAATCATTGAATATTATGTTAATGATTCATACATGGACAAAACAACAAGTGACTGAGTAGAACTACCTATTGAAATTTTAAAAAATAGGGAAAAACTATTTTTTTCTTTAATTTTCTTTTTTAGAGATTTCTTAAAACCTTTTGTTTGCTTTAAGAAAACGTAAAAAAGTTGAGCGTCACCCCCGTCTGGCGGTGGCATTTGTTTGATAATTTCAGGTAGTCCATCATCAACATCATATACTGAAGACTCTGAATTTGATTCTCAGAAACACGAAGATGAGAACTATTATAGAACAATTAGAGAATATTACAAAGATGACTGGTTATATGCTTTGTCAGCAAAACAGAGTGGCTCAGCCCAGAAAAACCAGCTGGGTGTACAAGTTGCAGATCCCCAAGATTTTGACCATAATGATGCAAAAGAAAGGGAAAACTCAAAGAAAAATGATGTTTGTTTTGAAATACAAAATGTAAAAACAGGCACTGATGAAAAATTTGAAGATGAAAATACTTTCTCAAGCAAATCTGATGGTATGCTTCATAAATTATAGTAAATGAGATTAAATTGTAAAAACATACATGTAATGTAAATCTTCTTACTTAAGAAGTTTCAAACTAATTTTATGCCTTCAATGTATTGTTACTTTCAATGTATTGTTACTATGAAAAAGATATTTCACACTTAAATTGTGCCACAAATGTATTTTTACAATGAACATGAGACTTCTAATGTATTATTTTGCCCCCCTTCAAAGAAGTTGGGGTATATTGCTTTACAATTGTCGGTCCGTAGACTAAATGGTTTCCGATCAATAACTAAAGAACGCTTATGCCTATAGTCTGTCCCACCAAATTTGAATATTCCATTTTTAGCTCACCTGTCACAAAGTGACAGGGTGAGCTTTTGTGATCGCTTTTCGTCCGGCGTCCGTCCGTCTGTCTGTCGTCCGTCCGTCCGTAAACTTTTACTTTAAATGACATCTCCTCATAAACCACTAAGCCAATTTCATCCAAACTTCACAGGAATGTTCCTTTGGTGGTCACCTTTAAAAATTGTTCAAAGAATTTAATTCCATGCAGAACTCTGGTTGCCATGGCAACCGAAAGAAAAAACTTTAAATGTCTTCTTTTAAAAAACCCAAAGAGCTAGAGCTTAGATATTTGGCATGAAACATCTTCTAGTGAGTGTCTACAAAGTTTGTTCAAATAAAAGCCCTGGGGTCAAAATTGGCCCCGCCCCAGGGGGTCATTGATTTTCCCTATATGCATATAGTAAAATCTTAAAAAATCTTCTTTTTAAGAACCAAAAGAGCTAGAGCTAAGATATTTAGCATGAAACATCTTCTAATGAGTGTCTACCAAGTTTGTTCAAATAAAAGCCCTGGGGTCAAAATTGGCCCCGCCCCAGGGGGTCATTGATTTTCCCTATATGCATATAGTTAAAACTTAAAAAAATCTTCTTTTAAAGAACTCAAAGAGCTAGAGCTAAGATATATAGCATGAAAAATGTTCTAATGGGTGTCTACCAAGTTTGTTCAAATAAAAACCCTGGGGTCAAAATTGGCCCCGCCCCGTGGGTCATTGATTTTCCTTATATATGTGTATAGCAAAAACTTAAAAAATCTTCTTTGAAAAAACCTAAATAGCTAGAGTTTAGATATTAAGCATGAAACATCTTCTAGTGAGTGTCTACAAAGTTTGTTCAGATAAAAGCCCTGGGGTCAAAATTGGCCCTGCCCCGGGGTCATTGATTTTCCTTATATGTGTATAGCAAAAACTTAAAAATCTTCTTTGAAAAAACCCAAATAGCTAGAGTTTAGATATTAAGCATGAAACATGTTCTAGTAAGTGTCTACAAAGTTTGTTCAAATAAAAGCCCCAGGGTCAAAACTGGCCCCGCCCCAGGGGTGTCATTGTTTTAAACTATATGTGTATAGTAAAAACTTAAAAATCTTCTTTTAAAAAACCCAATGAGCTACAGCTTAGATGTTTAGCATGAAACATCTTCTTATGGGTGTCTACCAAGTTTGTTCAAATAAAAGCCCTTGGGTTAAAATTGGCCCTGCTGGGGGTGGGGGCAGCTCATTGTTTTTCATTACATGTGTGTAGTAAAAACTTAACATCATGAAACATCTTCTTATGGATGTATTCCAAGTTTGTTCAAATAAAAGCCCTGGGGTTTAAACTGGCCCCTGCTCCGGGGGCCTATATACAGGTGAGCAACCTCAGGGCCATCATGGCCCTCTTGTTTATTAAATATGATAGTAAAATCATTTAAATTAATGTCATGTTAACCCTGACATCAATATCTCTGGGCATGTTTTTCATTTTTTTCATAAAGTCAGTAATATGGTCAAAATGTTAAAATTAAATTTTTTCCCGTTGACTTACGTTGTAACCTGACGTGACGTCCATTTCAAAATGGCGGCACCCATACAGACGTCATTTAGGGTTCATCTCACAATTAGCGTGAAATGTACTCGGTAATTATAAAAATTTGATTATTCTTATTTACTTACTGATCAATAGCTAAATGTTATCATTAAAAAGAAAAATGAGAATAAAGTTGGTGTCAAAAAGGCAGTTTTACTAGCAAACCATTATTTAAAATAATCAAAATCATTTGAAGTGAAAATATCTCTAACTGCTTTATAAATTCTAACACACAAAGATTTATATAGTTACCATGATATACTGTCATATTTTATATTCTTTTTGTGTCGCCTCTACGGAGTAGTGGCGACATATAGGGATCACTTCTCCGTCGTCTGTCTGTCTGTCACAAAACTTGTCCGGACTACTCCTCATAAACTACTGGTGCAATTTCATCCAAACTTTACAGGAATGATCAGTACCAAGTCTAATTGTGCATATTGTCAGCATTTTCCTGTTCAATGATTTTTGTCAGAGTTATGGCCCTTTAATAATTTTTTTCGTCCACATTTGGCCATTTTGTTTAAAGCAGTGTAACCATGCAGAAAGGAAATTGACGTCAGTCTGGACCACGATGCAATTTATCTCTTCAAAGTATAAACTTTTCCATGAAAAAATCGATATTTATATAATCAGTCTACTCAACGGCTCCCAGTAAATAAATGGAAAACAGAAGAACAGAAAGGGAAACAGGCTAGTTTTGGATATGTTTGGCTGTTTTCACCAGGTGAATTACTGTCCGAGATACTGGAAATACACTACGGATTTAAAACAAATTGGGTACTGAGCCTTTGATTTGCTTTTTTATTACGCAAAGATTTTATTTTAATTTGGTAAATTGGTCAAAATTATTGGGTAATTATGCAGATACGCTACTTATCTGAAGCTCTGCTTTTTCATACATGACAGCAATATACAGTAGAGACTGTCACATGTGACTTTCCAAGGGACCTTCAAAAAAAGGTCACATATGATATTTATACAGTCTCAAAGAAAATTAAAATACCATCTATATACCATTGTGACTTAACATACATGACTGTGTGAAGGAATAATATGTAACCAATTGTTAATAAACATAGGTACTTAAAATATTTGATGTAAATAAAATATGAATCCCTGTAAAACAAATATAATTAATTGCATGTATATCATATAAAATGACACTTTTATTTTTATATAAGATTTATATTGAATCATTTTAGTACAAATAAACTTGAATTTGATGCATTCAAAATCCTTAAAATAAATATCATACTTTAACAGCCAAAGTTTTTTCTCTTTAAATGAAAGACGTAGAATTTATGTAGCCATAGAAAGGTGAAATAAAAAAAACATGCTGCCTTAAAAATATTCCCTTGGCACTCCATAAACAGTAAAGAAAAATCTGAGTCCTGACACAAATCTTAATCCAGTTTGCTCAGGTCATTATGTACTTCGCACCTCAATTTGTTAACACACATCAATTGCATCATGCTTACCATATCTGGCAGTAGGGTATAGACGCTAGGTCACTTAATATATGTATACATGTAAACTGTGTAATTGATGCAGAGCTGTGTAGAGGTTGTTTGAAGGATAATAATTGGACTTAATTACTGTATTTTGGTCTCTGGGTGTTAAAACAGGTACATGTATTGTTTATCTGGTTTAAACAGATTTTTACCTCTTTCAATCACTCCTCAGTGTTTGTCGGTTACTGTGAGACAAAGCTAGTTTCAAACGTTGCTAATCTGTGATTCTTTGAGTTTATTGCCTGATCATTATTATGCCCCCATTTCGAAGAAAAGGGGGTATATTGCTTTGCACTTGTCGGTCCGTCGGTCCGTAGACCAAATGGTTTCCGAGTGATAACTAAAGAAGCCTTTAGGCCTAGGAACTTCAAACTTGGTATGGTGATTGGTCATGACCAGTAGATGACCCCTATTGATTTTGGGGTCAAGGGGTCAAAGGTCAAGGTCACATTTGACTTGTAAGCAAAAACGATTTCCGATCAATAACTAAAGAACCTTAAGGCCTAGGAACTTCAAACTTGGTATGGTGATTGGTCATGACCAGTAGATGATCCCTATTGATTTTGGGGTCAAGGGGTCAAAGGTCAAGGTCACATTGACCTTGTAAGCAAAAAACGGTTTCCGATCAATAACTAAAGAACCTTAAGGCCTAGGAACTTTAAACTTGGTATGGTGATTTTGTCATGACCAGTAGATGACCCCTATTGATTTTGGGTCAAGGGGTCAAAGGTCAAGGTCACATTGACCTTGTAAGCAAAAACGGTTTACGATCAATAACTAAAGAACCTTAAGGCCTAGGAACTTCAAACTTGATATGGTGATTGGTCATGATCAGTAGATGATCCCTATTGATTTTGGGGTCAAGGGGTCAAAGGTCAAGGTCACATTGACCTTGTAAGCAATAACGGTTTCCGATCAATAACTAAAGAACCTTAAGGCCTAGGAACTTCAAACTTGATATGGTGATTGGTCATGATCAGTAGATGATCCCTATTGATTTTGGGGTCAAGGGGTCAAAGGTCAAGGTCACATTGACCTTGTAAGCAAAAATGGTTTCCGATCAATAACTAAAGAACTTGAAGGCCTAGGAATTTTAAACTTTGTTATGGTGATTGGTCATGATCAGTAGATGACCCCTATTGATTTTGGGGTCAAGGGGTCAAAGGTCAAGGTCACATTGACCTTGTAAGCAATAACGGTTTCGGATCAATAACTAAAGAACTTTTAGGCCTAGGAACTTCAAACTTGGTATGGTGATTGGTCATGATCAGTAGATGACCCCTATTGATTTTGGGGTCAAGGGGTCAAAGGTCAAGGTCACATTGACCTTTTTGGTAAAAACGGTTTCTGATCAATAACAAAAGAACCCTTAGGCCTAGGAACTTCAAACTTGGTATTGATTGGTCATGACCAGCAGATGACCCCTATTGATTTTGGGGTTAAGGGGTCAAAGGTCAAGGTCACATTGACCTTGAAGGTAAAAACAATTTCCGATCAATAACAAAAGAACCAAAGAACCCTTAGGCCTAGGAACTTCAAACTTAGTATGGTGATTGGTCATGACCAGCAGATGACCCCTATTGA